ATTAAATAGTTAAGTTTATATTTAAATGTAAATATATTTTTTTGTGTTAATAAATACCCTTGATATATGCATTTTTTATAATGTTTAATTTATTTATTTTTCATTTAAATATGATATTCATATTATTAATCTTATAAATAATTATATGATATACAATATTTGATGAATTTGAAAATATGTATGAGTGTTAGAAATACTAAATAGTAAAAATCACAACAAGTAATGAATGGATAGCGTTTATTCGATTATGCACGACAGCGCTATATACGTAGGGGTGGCGCGTGAGCACTAGCGGCCGAAATTCAACTGCAAATTTAACAGGTTAAAAAAAGGGGGCGGGTTTAAAAAAATACCACATTAAAGTGTAAGTCCCCAGGATCATTTTGCGCATTTGAACGTTCCGAAAGCTTTGGTAGTAGCTGAGATATGAATTTTTAAAGTTGGCAACTTTTAACCATTTTTCGACCTTAAATCGCCCCTAGCTTAAAAAGGAAGCGTTTTACGAAAAAATGTCAAGAGACAAAAAGTGTTTATTTTTGCCCACTTTACCATGGAAAATTATTTGCAGAGCGTTATTTGCAATATTTTTATTTTGCAACTTTTTGTTAATTACCTGCCACTCGGACACAAAAATGTTACTTAGATTTTTTGTTCGCAATAACAATGCATCGATTACAAAAGGTTTCATCCTGGCCCCTCCTCGTGGTCGGTGACCTTGATTTTCTAAGCATCTTTTTAGGGGTGAACCGCTCGTCTATTAGTGCATACTGCAAGCAGTCACTGATTGCGTGACCTTTTTTTTTAGAATAAAACTTTTACATATATTATGCGAGGAACTATCATTCATACTTACGTAACTAGACAGCTATGCAGATATAAAAAAATATATATTTTAAGGTTAAGTAAACATTTTGCCCGATTAAGCTATTTGACTGCCAAGACCTTAATTCTAATATGATTTAAATTATGTTTCTGTGTGAAATAGGTAGAAAAGGTCAACCAAGTACATTATCAGTTCATATATACGTATAAATTTTAATACATTTTACGTAAAAAATGTCCACATGAATAATAAGAACATATATAAAATATAACTCACTCTTTGCACTCACTCACTTCATTCTACACGTTTTACTGTCAAGGCAAGTCCAATCTATAACTGTAACAATGTTGCCAGTTGTACTCACTATTAATTCTTGAACCACTTAATTTAATTCTAAATTCTTAAATTAGTTTGTTCTATTACTAAGTTTCTTGTTTAGAACAAGGATTAAGATTTCAATTCTGCAAAATTTTAAAATGTCACAAGCAAACAAGAATAATGTTTAATTATTATTCTCTATTCTGGGGACCAAAATGCATTGAAAATTGTTCAAAGTATTTCCAAGCCATTACGTTTCTGCCATGAAATTTTACGTGTGTCTCCGATATTTCTCAACGTTGTTTGACAGTCTGAGCCAGTTAAGTTAGAAACAATTATAAAGTTAACGTTGAAGAAATTATAATATTGGTTACATTGTTTATCTAAATAGAACTAACTAGACTATATTGATAATCGCCATCGAAAAATCCTTGAAAAGTTTCAAACGTTAAAAAATGGGTAGAAAACTCGAAATATTATTTATTCCACATTGAAGATAATTCTGAACCATCGGCAACACTGCTTCTTTATCAGCTGACGTTGCGATACTTACCATATTAAACCACATTTTTATAATATACATAGATAGCAATACTAGTTTTAGTGATAAGAGCAATCACAGTTATTAGAATAAGTCATCCTGTGATTTCTACTTTTATTTGTATAAGTAATCTTAAAACAAACATCCGCAAATGATTTTTTTCGATGTCCATGGCGAAAACTAGAACGAACTTAAAATATTGATTTATTATTTCTCTTATCTTGATTATATACGACTTAAAATCGACTGAAATATCTATTTAAATTTAAAAAGTAGCGAAAAAAAGTTGCAAAAAGGACCCAGGTCTAGCTGTATTGGTCAGGCTGATACAAAGTTCCAACTCCCAGGCGCGATCCCACTACTGCACGACGCGAAGACTTTTGGCTGCTGGGTCTCCCCCCTGGCCCGGATCGCCTTTCCTTAGCCGACCTGGCCCCCACAGACTCCTCCAAGGGGCCCATATCGACGCCATGCTTAGTGCGGACGCCCGGTCAACGCTAGACGCTTCACACCAGGGCTCCTGACCTCAAACCATCCACTGAATCCGACCTCCAAGTAGCTGGATTACAGGAGTCGCCACGCTCCCAGTCGATGAAACAGTCAGTAAACTTTGTATTTATTCGTGCCGATAATATACAAGGCTTGGTATTAATAGCTTATTTTCATGCCGAGGTGGAAAGTAGTTCATTATATTATTATCGAGTGATTAAGAAACTAATTTTATCTCTAGACAAAAAACAATATTTTAAATAAATGAAAACAAATGTTATTTATTATTAATATTTTTTCACACGAAATAGCGGGTGTCCCGAAATCAATGGGACAAAATTTGGTCACAGATTCTTAAGACAAATTTAAAGGAACCGTATTTTTCATTTTTGCTAAGGAGCCCTCCCTTTCGGAGTTACAGCGCCTTGAAATCCGCCCCTAAGAATAGTATTTTTTATATCTCATCGCCCTGTTGTACGAGAATCACTAAATTTGGTACACAAGAGTTTTATGACATGTGGAATCTGATAGTTCTACGCTTTTTGGTGGGGAATCCCCTAAGATAATTTTTCGTGCGCTCCCTTGTCTTTGGAGCTAAAAATATTTGGTTGCATATTTGAATTTCTTAAAAATTATTATTTCGTTAGAAAGCCAATAAATTTAGAAACTTTTTTGTATCTTAATGTTTTTTTCGTAAAACACAATGTTTACGAGAAAAATCACGACATGCATTCAATCACATTTTGCCATTTTGACAGAAAAGTTTTTAAATTCAATGGCTTTCTAGTGGACTAATAATTTTTAATAAATTTAAATATGCGACCAAATTTTTTTGGAGCCAAAGACAAGGGGGCCCACAAAAAAGTTATCTTAAGGGGATTCCCCGCCAAAAAGCGTATCACTATCAGATTCCACAATGTCATAAAACCCATGTGTACCAAATTTAGTGATTCTCATACAACAGGGTACTGAGATATAAAAAAAGACTATTCCTAGAGGCGGATTTCAGGGGGCTGTAACTCCGAAAGAGGATCCCCTAAGTTTGTCACATGAATATGTGACCAAATTTTGTTGCATTAATTTCGGGACACCCTGTACAATCAAGGTAAACGAATCAGTAGGTCACTTTCTGTCAGTAGTGTTGCTTTGCGCTAGTACGCAGAAAAATAACCATGGCATTTAAATACATAGTATATAGAACCTTCATAAATATGTTTACAAGCCGTGTGACCTTCGAGCATAGGCAACCAACAATTCAACGGTTGGTAAAACCAAGTGAAATTCCGTAAACCTCAGTGGAGTGACTGAAGGGGATACATGTAATTAAATTAAATTGATTAACATGAACTATCGATATTAAACTTAATGTACAGGGGTGTTAATGATATGCGAATATTTAATGGTGTGATTGCACATGGAAAATGAATGATAGTTTACTTTATAAACATGGTCCAAAAATGTTCCATTGCGAAAGTATGGACCATCGCAGGACAAAAACGCAAGAGAGCTCTTATCTTTCGAATTGAATTCAGAAATAGTTTTATTTGAGAAAAAATCCCATTGATGTTTGTATTGAAAAACATGCGCTTTTATTAACTATTAATATGTAGTAAATATCAATAAAGTGGTTTCGAAAATATTAATTAATTTCCTTCTTTTTCCTAAAATTTTAACACCCCGTATTCTCGCCTTGTCGCAAAAAAACATTTTTGAACCATAGTTTATAAATCAAATTATCATTAATTTTCCATGTAGAATCACACCTTTAAATATTCGCATATTATTAAGGAACGCCCTGTATATAATTTAGTATTAGATACTTCTGAAACACAGTTTTGTTTTTTTCGTTGAAATGCTTTTAACTTTATTAACAGGGAGAAAAATATTAAACTTCACTTGTTAATGAACAAATTGCAAATTTTTACTATGAAAGCAAAAACATATTGTGTCAACCTATCAGTTTATTATTATTTTTATTTAAGTATAAACATAGACGGTTTACTTTTTATTATAGATAAAATATCATTACGAAAGAGTTATATTAATTTATGAACTAACTCTTCGCTGCAATATAAAATAAATTCAAATTCATGGATTAGCAGCAAATGAACTCAAACGAAAACAAACACGGACGACGACCGCCACTGAAAAATTAACAATTGTCAATTTAGCGTTATTGGTTATAATGATTCGTTTAATAATAAATAGTAACAAACGTCTACACTCGAGATAATCCGATCGCTGATTGGTTGAAAGAAAACGTCGTGAAAAAGTACGCTGAACATAAGCTGGTAAAACAAAATGTTGCGTTTTAACGTAGTCTTGAACTTATTGTTTTAGTAATTTTTAAATTTACCAGAATTTAATTGCCAACGCGAAAAAATAAAATTACTGTTTCAAACAAAATTCTTGGTCACGTGGCTTGTGATAATTTCTGAAGGCTTTGTATAACATATGGCAGGATATATTTCTCCCATAGATTTTATGTATTGAAGAAGTTTAGAAACTTTTATTAATTTTAATCATTTGTAATGCATTTATTTTAATATTTATGAACTACTAATTGACCGGAACAGTCCAGTAAATACATATATTAATGAAGTAAATGAAAGATTATTGTCGCAAATACGCAAAAAAAAGAAATATGCGGTAAAACAAACATTTTCATTTAGGCGCAAAAAAGTGGACTTATATATGATACTCAATTCAAAGTTTAGCGAAAGAAATAATCTAGGAATGTGTGAAATTACAAGTAATGGGAATCTTTTAGTAAAAATTCAGATGAATATGAATTATTTTATTACACAGATGCTTGGTATACAATAAAATATCACTTAAAACACTTACAACGTATACCTATACTAGGAAGATAGATAAATAATACAATTTTTATAAAATTAGTGAGGTAATTTTCTGTAGCTTTGTTCTGCTACGGATATTAAATTTTCTGCCATCCGAGCTCCGGTTTGCATAACGAGCCCATAGAAAACACTGTCAGGATCTTTTAAAAGATTGTATGGATGATCAAATTCGACAGCTCTACCAGCATCCATCACCAAAACTTTATCTGAATCCATAATTGTATGCAACCTGTGCGCTATAGTCAAAACAGTGCAATTCGCGAATTTCTTCCTGATCGTTGTTTGAATCAGTCCATCTGTATGAGGATCTACATTTGCAGTAGCTTCGTCCAGTACGAGAATTCTGTTGTTGCGAATTATGGTCCTTGCCAGACACATAAGTTGCCTCTGTCCTACGCTGAAGTTTGATCCCCCTTCAGACATTTTGCTGTCTAAACCTCCAGCAAGGCTAGATATTGCGTTTTTTAGTTCTACTTCTTCCAAAGCATTCCACAGGATCTAGAACAAACTTGCATCAAATACAGATAAGTACGAGAACTGAAGGATAAACTATATATAATTAAAAATGAAACTAATTAAATATAAATTGGAAAACCAAGAAGATCGTATCTAACCTAACGAGAATATGATGATTTAAATAATGTAGTAACGTTTTTGAGTACACAAAAAAGCTAAACATTGAAGAAACGTTGAAACCCAATCTATTTAATTGCATGTGCGAATATAACCTACTAGGCGCAAGTTCGGTACTCTACTAGACACTCCAGATGTGTTGTTCTTTGCTAATTCTAAGAGATGAAAAAACAAAGATATATACAGTGTGTTTCACTTAAAGTCGGAACACCTCCGTATTTAGGATGGTGTTGTCCGATTTCCAAATTTTTTTTTTATGTGGTAGTACTCAAAAAGGCCTACTTTTTGATCTTATATTTTTTGACATATGACCTTTTCTACGACCCTCAAAAATTAAAAAACATATTAGGCATTTTTTTAAGAAAGAAATGGATAGCATTTTCGATTTGATCACATCTCAAATAATAATGATTAATAATTTGATATAAACGTTTTTTTGAAAGTGAAAATGTTGGTTAGAAAAAAGGTAAAAAATTGCATAATTAGGGATATTTGAATAACTTGGCATAACTTTGCAAATAATGAATTGAATAAGGATATTGACTGTAACTTTTCAACCTCAAAGTGTCCTAAAGAAACCCTGATAGGTAATTTCAAAACACTGCGATTTTTATTTCTTTGAATGGTTATTCAACTGAAGGTTAAGGTATTATTTAACATCATTTTAACATCAGTATTCTCATGAGGTAAGAATTAATACTGAAGGGGAACGAATAACGCGTACAAAAAATTGTATCTAATACGGTAGAATTGTTTAATGTCAACGACTTACGGTAGGCTTTAATACGACTTTAATAAAAGTATAAAAATAATGACAATTTAACCAATTCAAATCTCCAATTATTATTATGATATTATCCATACCTCATCACTGTACTCATCGAATGGATCTAAATTCTTTCTAAGTGTTCCTGAAAACAACACTGGTTCCTGCGGTATAATGGAAATCTTTGACCTCAAGGTATTTAGAGGAACATCTCTCGTATCTACTTTATCAATTACTATACTTCCCTCTATGTCAGTAAGACGAAAGAGTGCCGCTATAAGGGATGACTTTCCTGCACCAGTTCTTCCAACAATGCCTATCTTTTCATTCGATTTAATCTCAAAGGTCAGGTCTCTTAGAACATAAGAATCATCTGGACTATACCTTAGACACATTTTTATGAATTCAATAGTACCTTCCTCTGGCCAAAATTTAAGAAAAGGTTTAGTTGTTTCGTCTTTTTCTGGAGTAACTTCGGTATACTCCTGCACTCTTTCCACCGAAGTCATGTTGTTTTCTAATTCACTCCATTGTCTGACACCCCACTGGAACATTCCGGTGAGACTTATAGATTGAGTGAGAGCTAAACCTACATTTCCACCAAATACCTCTGAAGCAAACAAAAGAATTCCCCTCAATTAAAATAAGGTTTCACTGCACTATTTTTACAGTCTACCATTTCAATTTGGTTTTAAATTATATCTACCTTTTTCAATAAATAAAATGCTAACAGTAACAAGTGCTATGTAAATAACACAATGGAAGTCTAACCAGAATCCAAAAGTCCTGTTTGTCGCAATGAACATGTAACATGGAGAAGTATTTCTGTTCTGATAGTTATCGAACTCTTTTTTTAAAATATTTTGCGCTCCGAAGGCTCTTATAGTAGTTAATCCCTGTAAAGATGCGGATAAATGAGTGTAAATAGGACTGCGAGCTAGAAAAAAAGTTCCAATACACATCCATGAAAGGCTTCTCATATGTTACTTACTAGTTGCTTCAATTCGTTTCACAGCTCTGCTAGTAGCCAAAAATACAACTCTCAAGTAATAAAATATTACAAGAATAACTAAAGTAGGTAACAAAATCCAAGGATTAAGTGAACCAATGACTAAACTAATTGCTGCAACATTTAGACCAGTCTGGAAATAAATGGTTTACTTATATTTGTGCTACCTTTACTTCGAAAATGAAAACAGAGTGTAAATAAATAAATATAATATTACAACATTCTTTGGGCTTACCTCTAAAGTATCCAAAAGAGACAATGGTAATAATTCATCTACAGCTCCAATGTCTTTCGAAAATCTATTAAGGATCCTTCCTGGAGGATTCAAGTTGAAGAACCTCATAGGAGCGTATACGATTTTATCAAACATTAGGTTGTGCAATTTGGTGGAAGCAACAGAACAATATTTGAAGAAACTGATTGACCTCGTTAAAGTCACGGTTATTGTGCCAATAATCAAACATGTATATATAACCACTGAAATATTCTTTGTCAAAATCAAATCCAGCGTTGACTGAAATAAGTCCTGTTTACTACGTCCTTGAGAATTTTCCGAAAAGGTGTTGTTGAGGACTGTTTTATACTGTGTGACCCTCCATTGTTCTAAATTGACCCTAAATACAAATATCGTGAGTACCTATGAATTAATTTTAGTAATCATTACTAGTTTTATGTTTCCTGGATAATTATTTTTGATGAAATCCATTAAATATATAAAATCTGTAGATTAGAATGTTTAAAAATACCTTTTCCTCAACATTTCACTATAAAATGCATTGGAAATGGAAATATTTTCGAAAGAATTTATTTATATGACAGAAAGTAATTAATAGGGTTTGTTTATTTTGACATTGCCTTTCTGCTTCAAAACATATTTGATCTATCTGCTCAAAAGTTTTGGGTGCTCTTTACAAAATAACATTTTGGTAGAACTTTTAATTTATAATTAAATCCTGACATCTAAAAAGATGATGGGCGTACTTTCCAACGGCGATGAGAATATTGATTTTTTCGAAATTATGACGAGATGTGAAATGATGAACGATTATTATTATTATTATTTAATCATACCCAAAAGAAAGAAGAAGAGCAAAATTAATTAAACTCCACTCCAAAAAGACTTTTAAAGGCATCCACAAACTTGAGGACAAATAGACTAAGTCTGTTTCAAACAAAACTGTAAAAAAATATGATAATTTCTGTAAGGATTGTTATAAAACTCCTTCTTGAACGGCATTTCCTCATAGATCTTACAGTTAGTTCTATTGAATTAAAACTGAAATTCATTTTAATAAATATTTTAATTGTCTCCTTCCTCATTGTTCTGAAATCTGTCCCTTAAATTGAGTGAGCTTTTTCGTGATTTCAATTATATCTTCCAAAAACAGAATATTATCTTCCTAATATAATCAAATTTTGTTCTGTGCATGTATTTTTATAAATTGATACAAAATCTTACCACACACTGACAAAATAGTCCGTTGTACTAGCTGCAACTTGCGAAATAATAAAAGTAGATAAGAGCAACAATATTTTGATCCAGCTTCCTCCAGATACAAAATAATTTTTGTAAACACACCAGGATATATCTCCTGTTCTTTTGAATTCTTTTTGCTGAATTGGTGCCTCTCTGGTCGTATTGTTCTGGTTTCCCGCATTTACTAGTTTGAACTTTTTTTCAATTGAAGGACTTTGTTCATCATCTTCCTTTTCTTTATCAGAATTTGTCAACAACTTTATAAACTCATTATCACAACTTTGCAAATCTAAATAAGATCCCGAAACGTAAATCTTCCCAGTGTCAATTAAGTAAATAGTTTCTACATTTTTAAGATACTGGATTTGATGAGTTACAAGTACAACGCATTTGTCTTTTAGGTATCCACAAATGCATTGATCAAACAACTGTCTTCCTACATGCGTGTCTACAGCTGATAAAGGGTCGTCTAACAAGTATATGTCTGCTTCCTTGTACACTGCTCTGGCAAGGTTTATGCGAGCTCTTTGTCCCCCACTAAGGGTGGTACCTCGATCGCCAACAAGAGTTTGGTCTCCGTAAGGAAAAAGAGTAAAGTCTCTTTCTAAAGCACACACCTTTACCACCTCGTCATATTTCGCGGCGTTAAATTTTTGACCAAAAATTATGTTTTGTCTGACGCTTCCACCGAAAAGCCATGGCTCCTGGGAGGCGTAGGATATGGATCCTCTTATATTTACTGTACCTTCCACTGGAGGTAACTCCTTTAGGATGGTGTTGAGAAGGGTGGTTTTACCACCCCCTACGGGTCCGATGATAGTTACTAACTGTTTCGAATTGACATCAAAAGTTATATTTTCTAACGCGTTGTCAGGTAGTGACTTAATCCATTTTACTGATACCTTATTCAGCTGTATGCCTACAGGTTGATTTGGATAACTTGTTTTCAACGAACTGTTCATTCCTCCATTCTGTAATTTAGAGCGTTTGTTATCTGCAGCAACATTAAAATCAAAATTAACTTCTATTTCTTCGTACATCAAAAATGTTCTGATTCTGGACACCGACACTTTAGTTTCAGCTAGCTGTGTTACTGCTTCTGGAAAGAACTTTACCACAACTTGCCTCAATGTAGCGTAATACGAAGAAACAGTGTAAGCATATGTGGCATTAACTACATTTCCACTTAAAACATAAGTTAGTATACATATACAAACTGCCGCTCTGTTTAATACCAGATTGAATGACATGGCAATGCCTTTTATTATTTCATTGCTCCAAATCTGCTGCATTTCTTTCCTGCAAAAAGTCTTATAATTAGATATTAACTCAGATTTACACTTTAGTACAACATACTCTCTCGATAGTTCAACTAGTTTAGCGAAAGGCTTTTCCCATGTGTACATTTTGATGACTTGAATACCTGTTACTATCTCACTCATCAGACGTACTCTTTCGTCTGTCCGCAAAGCTGTCCTTAGTCTAAATTGGGAGGTTTTTTTACCCATATACACTGCAAAACATCAACACTTAATTATAAATTCATTAGTCATCCGTTCAAAATTTAAGTTCAAGAATGTTCTATCTTTAATATTGTTTGCAAATATAATACTACTTACCCTGAAAAGGAATGAATAGAAGCAAGAAAAATGTTCCAGCCAATCCTGTAATTCCAACATTAATATACAATAAGTACATAACTAAAGCAGTCCCAAGTGGTGACAACCACAAATAATTTGCGTACTGAGTAGCTGTATTAAACCTGGAAACATCATTTGAGAGCAGGTTGACCATTTGTCCAATAGTTGTTTCGATCAAAGCAAATTTACTCAGTTTCAGTGATTTTCGATAAATCAAAGAACAAGTGGCTACCCTTATTTTCATAGATAATTGCAGAGTTTGAAGGAGATAATTGTGCGTTAGCACCACTCTTAAAAGAGTAAAGAGAACCAATAGTGCTCCGTAAATGCAGGCCTCATCTTTGCTCATTGCGGTCTGGTTAGGCTCGTAGAAGGTTAGGAGCTTCGAGATTAATATCGGCTGAGATAATCTAAAATAAATATGTGAAAGTTGAAAAATAATTTCAATCAAATTAATTAAAAATATAGTAATGAACTTGTTCATAACAAAGTAACCATTCTATGTCAGAAGATATTTATAATAAAATACCCAAATAATATTTATAGTTGAAAATATTTTTAATCAACCTTGTAAGTATTTGATATATTCTAAGTTAGTGACTCGCCTATGTATATAATTTCAATTCTCTATGAAAACTAATCGCGAATGTAATCGTAATAAATATTTTTAATGTTTCCTTTCTTAATATACAGGGTGTTCTGCAAGCTCTATGACAAATTTTGAGACTGAAGAGTATGCGGATATTGTCTTTGTATATGGGCATTCCAATGGACGTCATACAAGCAACCCGAGAATACCGACGAAGATAGAATAGACCTGCCCAGACAGTCTTAGTGCATCATTTCGCAGACTTCGAGAATAAGGTAACCCCGCCCCAAAAATGGCATTTCGTCCTACTGAAGTGAATGTACAAAATGAAGAAGATATAAGATGCTATCATTGACAAGTAATGTTCTTTTATCACCTAATTTTGTACGACATGTTTTGAACAGAGAAATGTTACATCCGTTTCATCGCCAAAATGTACAGGCGTTACATGCTTGAGATGTTCCTCAGCGAATAGAATTTTGTTGCTGCTTACTTCAACAATATGTACAAAATAATAGATTCATTGTCATGTGGTCTTGATGAAGCGTGTGTTATCAGGGATGGCATAAATAATAATCATAATGAACATTACAAAATCCGCATGTAATTAGATCAAGACGATTTCAGTAATGTTTCAGTGTCAACGTTTGGGGTAGCATTTTCAACAATAATTTACTGCCTGTACATTGTCCGTTTAAATGCAGATCTGCATAGAACTTTCTTGGATAACAACGTTTTTGATTTCATTGATAATATAGGACTTAATAGTTTTCAAAATATGTGGTATCAGCACGATGGTGCACCACCACATAGAGGGAGATAAGTAACTGCTTGGTTAATTGATCATTTCCCGAATAAATAGATAGGTCAACGAGGTCCAATAGCATGGCCACCGCGTTCCCTAGATCTATATACTTTGGACTTTTATTTATGGGGACATAAAGCAGCGTCTACCATGTTGAAATCACTATCCGTCAACAGTTACTTGAAAGAATTCAGGATGCAGTTAACCAGATAAGAAATGATCCATTTGAAATTAAATAATCTACCATCTGTCAAAGTTTGTCACAGAGTTTGTAGAACACCCTGTATTGGGAAAGTTTCAACAACAGTTTAGAGAACATCGAAATAGTTGATTATAACTTTTTTCTAAAATATTTCAACTGATAAAATAAAACATTTGTGTAACAGCGACATTGAAAAAACATTCAGTTCTGATTCTCGTAAAAATCGAAAAAGAAAACAGAATAACGATTTTTCCTAAAACAAGTGCTAGTTCCTAGGTGCTCTATGATTCTTGAATTATTGGATCTTAATTAGTGGAGTTGTGTTCACTGCCAAAAAGGGTTATTTGATGTCTCGGAGAATATTTTAGAAATTCGGAAACATCATAAAATCTTCAAAAATAATTTACTAATGTTCTGCTGCTAACGAGTGTCTAACACTGTCGTGGTTTTTCGACATTTACTTCTTGATTGGAAATGGTTCATCCATAATTCTCTTCTCCATAATTCTCTTCTCTAAATGACTCATTTCGACGCCACCAATTACTCACTCTACCAAATTTGAACTATACAGTTATCTGTAATGGTTCTTGAGTAATTGATCAAAAACTGTATTTCACTTCCATTCTCTGAAGGATTTAGATCCCTTTGGCATCGTTTTAGGAAAAAATGTTACTGTTTTTGTTTGTTCCAATGACAAAAATCAGTTTGCGTAACGTTGCATATAAAACGAAAACGAATTATATTTATATTAAAAATTTCTACCTCAATCCGTTTTGAGATTTCTCCAAATATATAAAATAACTATTACCTACTTTATTACAAATTCTATAAAACCAAAGTAGAGAGCACATAGCAATAGCTCGATTCCAAAGACTTTAAGAATTGCTATCCATAAAGAAGGATCCTTTTTGTTCGCCACTTCGTGGTTCCAAGCCTTCTGTAACCTATCACCCAACAAACCTGAATCATGTGATTTGAGAGTGCCATACATATCATCTTCAGTTAACTCTTTTTTAAAACCTCTTACAAAGAATGGTAACAGCCAACTGTAAAAAGAGTATCTATATTTTATACATATATTTTTATTGAATAAATTACCAGAAAAATGTTTTTGTTACTATGTTTGCCTTATGTAGTGGGTGTTTCCTTTTATTGAAATTTTCTGCAGAGTACTTTATTTCTTCCATTGGGCAGTTGATTTTCACTAAAGTTTTGTTCTTAAGTTTCTAGTAGTTACCTTATTCATATGTGCCGGATTAAAATTATTTGCCATTTAAATATTATGTGTCCATAAAACGGTTTTAAATGTCTGAATTAAATGTGATAATACGTAAAAGAGGTAATGTCAAAAATGCCGTCAATATACTTGTCACTCAGTTATGTTTATTTTACATTCTTGTCAAAAATTGTAACCTATTATTTTTATTTTTTCTTTAAAATAAGGATGAATGGCTAATGTTAATCAGCATTAAAATCAGTATTAGGTACGTTTGAAACGATTCCATGATGCAAGAATTTATCAAATATTAAGTACCTATTTAACGTATGTAGTTATATCTGTTATGATTTTCTACTGATTACATCTTAATTATGATTTACTTATTTACTACTGATTACATCTTAATTATGATTTATTGAACCTTGGACTTCTCGGCTCAATGTAATTTTTCGGAAAATATAAAATTGTTAACAATACACATACAACAGATTTATGAAAACTATATCGAGAAACATGGACGCCATTTTAAACACATTTTGTAGAACAATTTAAATAAATTGTGTATTTATTTAAACATAACTATTTTTATCTTCACAAGTTTCTAATTTGTACCAAAACGTCAAAACTCTAAAAGCTGTACAGAAAAAGTCAGAAATCATTTTCATTTGAAATGAAATTTGCGTTTTACAAATTACAAAAAAATCCTCATCCCAGCCATATACCATATACCAGTCTTACCGTGACGGACCATTATAATGTTTCAGAGACTACAAATATTACTTATGACATATTCGTTGTTTTGTTTTTAAGGTTCCTAACAATTTCACAGCCATCTTCGCAAGAAATTGGATCATTTTAATTATCATAAAAACCGCCAATAACAAATGAAAGTGAAAAATTGAAAGAGGTATAGGGAATTGAGTAGAGTAGTAAAATTCTACAATATATTTTAATATACATGATGTACCATTTAGAAGAAAGTTTTGTCGGTTCGAAGTTAAGCAAAATCGACAATAAATTTTCACCGTCCTGTGTAAAATAAAACAGTTTTTAAAGTAACTGTAATAAATGATAGGCATCCCCCATCCCCCTCCAAAATATCAATACTTCAGCTTGCAAATATAGAATTTTGAATTAGGCTATCGAAAAGCAACTTTTTTTAAGAAATAGTAATATCTCGAAGACTATTAGCATAAGAGTAACTAAATAAGAGGCTTTTATTGGATAGGGCGGATCGAACATGCATTCACTGAGGCCATCTCACGTTGTTGCAGCAAAACATTGTCCTTTATGGAAATTGTTAAAGAGAAATCTGCAACCCTGTGGTTGCTGGTCGATCTGTATCGAATCTGTATTTCCAAGCTTTCAATCAACAGAAATAGAATGCGTTGACTAAAATATTTCAATCAAAGTAGAGTAAAATAGAATGTTTGAGGTTTGAGGTTTGAGGTTATAGCTTATCTTCAGGACTTCAGGTAGGTTGCCGCGTTTTATACATTAATAAATTTGTTTTGTTTTAGATTAACATAATAAGGGATTTATTGAATCAATCGTCTGAACTGCCTTACTGTTTTTTATTTGTTTTTTTAATCCAAAATGAGTTTACCTGGTAGAACTAAACGTCAATGTTGTGCTCCAAATTGCAAAAACATTTCTTACTATATGAATATCTGTAATACGTTATATACAAATAAAAGGTTTTTCAGAATTACAAAAGACAGACAATTACTGTGGATAGAATCAGTTCGAAATTATGTAAATCAGAATTTACTCCGACAAACATCATTAATTTTGTGAAAACCATTTTGAGTAAAAAATGTTTAAAAAACAGTAATAGGAAGTGCTTTACCGCCATTATGGTGCAGCGACATCTATTTGATAGTAGAATCAATGATTACTCTATTACTACTATTAATTGTGTTTTCCAATGCAGTTTCCTTAATTAGTTAATGGTCTGTGGTTTCCGAGAGTGCCGACTGCTGCACCAACTACAGATGGCGGTACTCTGCCGCTGCTGCCGACAGAATACACAGAATAAAACCCTCTTATTTAGTTACTCATATGACTATTAGGGCCAGATATCGGGAAGCTTGATGAAAGTTTCTCTAGAATAATGTGTATAGCGCATATCAAAACTTTTATAACAAATATACAACTTTTATTTAAAAAAATCACTCATCTCCATACTCATTATTCAATGAGTTTAACTGGAAGGTGCTTAATATACCTTATGCATCTATGAAGTAAAGGTTATAATGAATTACTTATCCATTATTATGTATTATAGACTTTATGTTCCAATTGTATAGTATGGAAGATTTGTTGTATAAAGACCAGTATCCGAATTTGTGTATAACAATTGTATTAACAGAATTATTCATTCTCATACTGATTATGTTTCCGTTTTTAACGTGTAAAACGCGTCTTATAATGGTTAAGTGATCGTCACCTCTCGGTGCATAATCGGTTATGATCGTAAAATTTCCGACAGTCCGCTGTGCATCGACTTACGACTATTACACGTCTAGTTTGATGAAAATGGACAGTATATGCACATGTTTTGTGGGATACATGATCATATCGCGTTGTGTGAAATGGAAAATTATGTAAGTATCTAACTATTTTATGGTTTGTAATTGTTTTGTTTTTTCAAATGTAAATCTTGTCTAAATCTTAAAAATTATTATCTTGTATGCCCTATTAGAAACCGCTGATGGTAAGCTTTACATAAGATGGAGGAACATAAGGCTAATGTTGACAAAGAGCATCGGTAAAGTCAATCAACCAGAGGAAATAGAATTAGAAGAAAAGAAGCTCAACCTTTCAGGGAATACGGATGCATCGTTACTAAGAAAATAAACTGGACAGTTTTGGGAGCGATTTGTCATCATTTTTAATACTTAAATATTTTTTATATGTTTACATTAGAACCTTAGTTACCTATACAATAAAATTTCTGAAAACTTAATGTCAAATGTTTTTAACTCATACAGTACTCTGTCTCTGTACAACAGTTTAATACATTTATTATTATAAAACTTATAACCAGTACTAGATGTTCTAATAACGATATGGAATAACAATTATTGCTATAATTTCGAAAAGGGTATAAAAAACGTTGTATACTAGTTATACAATGATTTAATAAAGAATACGGTTTATACTCACTATACAACTGTGTTAGCAATACGCGTTTTATATCCAATATTCACCTGTTTATCTGTGGCATATAGAATTCTAATAAAGAATAAAGCGCATTTCTTTCAGTGTAGAATCCAAATATGCAAAAATATACAGGGTGTTCCATTTAAAATAAACAAACAAATGTCTACTTAGTCTACTCTAGTCTACAATTCCTAAATAAATATATGCAAGTTGTCCATTGTTTCACGTTAAATGGCATTTTTTTAATACATACATACCTATCTCATTTATTGCAATTTAGAATAATAATGAGCAGGGAAATGAATTCAAATCTTGCCAACTTTGTTATTTTATAACATCTATAATGTAAATAAAACTGAAAAAAAAAATTATACTTTGTTTTTTATTGAATATACCTATTTTGACAACTCGATGTTCTTATTATTAATAACAATAATAATAATAATTCAATTAATTGCTAATTACCAACCGGTTTCATCACATAATTATCTAGATAAGTCAAGAAATCATAGGTTTCAACAATTTACAGTCTTAATCTACAATTTAACCAAACCTACATTTGTATTTTATTCACAACCATTAATTTGTACGTAAGATTTAAAAATCTATCGCTAATCACTCCAGGAAGATAACAATCATAGCTATAGTGCATTTACATGTTGTTATTGACACCACTTCATCTTATCTGAAATTTTACTACAGAATATAATAGTTAATTTTGAAAATAATCAGATATACAATGTAGGATTGAAATTGATAAATTTCTGTTGTGTAAGTGGGCAAATAGAGTATAATTATCTTTTGTTGAATCTTTGGAAAGGTATACTACTCATTACTAATCGTATTAATCAATGGTATATTAAAAAACAATCTACAAACTAAACTATGAAAGAAACAATATGTATGATTAGGTACCACATATCCAAAAAGAAAAGAATTGATCATTTTAAAATACATACATACGTAAATATGACTTAATCCTTGTCAATATAGGCATACAGGCTAAGAGTATAGTTTTTCCGAAGTCAGTTGAACATGTAAAAAATCGCCTGGCAATAAAATTTAATGAGTTTCATAGGCGTCCTTAGAAAAGTTTTCTGATAAAGGTAAAAAATTATAATAGTTTGTATATAATGTGCAGGAAATTTCTATTATATGTACATTTGGAAAACAACATGTTTTAATTATTTATGTCCTCAAACAATTTTATTATATTGATGGTAAATTTCGTTTCGTTCCGTTTCAAAAGATCTCCAAGATGCCATATTGTAATAATATTATTTCACCCTTTCGTAATTGTAATATCAATGATTAATAGAAGGTGCCTATAATAAATTAAAATCACCCTGAATCACACCAAATTCCGCATTGCTACACTGCACTGCTGGGCAATTTGTCGACCACTTGTAACGACTGAGATTTATTGCCCAGTGGCCCAATGCAACTGTATTTGTATTTCGATTGCCCGCGCTCCCATTCTTCAACTGGGTATATACATTTTTACCACCTCCACGTTTAGTTCGACCAGACCTGTATATGCATATGGCTAAATAAATATGGGAACAAGTTTTTGAAATATTTCAATGCCGAGTTGCTGCGTCAGCGACCGAACCTGGTACATACGGTCATCCTCTTGGTTCTTCAATTGATATCGGAAAGACTAGCTGCTGCTGCTGCTGCTGCTGCTGCTGCTGCTGCTGCTCATTGCTGCTTTCACATTTTGATATCAATACCTTCCATAGGTTTAATAGTTCTAATAGATAGCATCCAAGATATAACCACCCCACGACAATGTTCAGCATCATTTTTATCGTTATCAACTGTAATATTTAAAAACATAACCAATAATCGTTATGATATCCGTCTAATTAAAAAGTGATTAGTTTTCTTATCATATTAAACGATAACAATTTTACTCCTACATAATTATTACTTGAAGTGATTAGATGATGTAATGATAAATTTTATTGATAAAAATTCGGTAGTCGCGACAAAAAATCAATCAATGTTTGATTGGCACTCATCTCATCAATAGTATCTCATTGTGGCAGCATTAGTCCACAGTACAGCCCCCCCCCCCCCCGAAAGTTGATTACCACATACTTTATAACTCCTGAGGGGCATCCTTTTGACAAGTCTACCACACTTTTCCTCTGCGACTTTTCTCGATTCCTCCGCTTTTCCACTCGGAAAAGTCCAAAAACATGGCAATTTCCCGGGGTCTTGAAAAGTCAAGACCACATTTTTTTTTAGCTTAAGTTACTGGAAATTTTGTTGCAAATGCCGATAATTTGTCCGACAGAAATTCTTCCGACATTGACGTGTCTACCGGCCAAAACATGCCAAAAAACAGGATATTGAAAATCAATTACCACATAGGCAATTTTTAGTAAAATTAATTGTAAATAATTAATTCAGCCAAAAAATATTGTTGTCCGACAAATTTCAAGCCGCGTTTTTTCAGTCCGACAGCTGGAAATCGGAATTTTCACGGGGTATGAAAAATCGATTACCACATATCTAATTTTCATTTTTTCCACTTTTAAATTTACTGTACAAAATAGTGATATAAGTGTCCGACGATTTAATGTCCGCAAATTATTAAAAAATCAATAAATCAATAAACGTGATGAAATTTAATTTTTTCACTCCAAAAATTTCATATTTATAAATGGTTATTAATTATTATTATGTAAATTATTATTTGTTTCAAATAAATAATTATAATATTGCTTATTTTATGCTTAAAAATTTAAAAGTTATAAACAAATGAAGTTATTTTTGAGACGATTAATAAAAACAAAATTCAACAAATTCAAACTATTTTCTCCTACAATACTTTAAAAGTTCCCGCCTCATGTTACTATCATGAGCAGTAGCATTCTTGGTACGTATTGACATTACAAAGCGCTTTGTTAATAACTTAAAGGAGGATAGATTTACTAGAAAGGGAGGTCGTCTATTCTCAATATTTGCACTATTCGGAACCTCCTGAAAATAAATACCTACTTAGGTTTGCAATTCGTTTTTTTTTCTCGGACACTGTCTCATTTTAATAGCTTATATTTATGGTTTAATTATTCAAGATGACTAATTGTAAAAATATATAATTATATATATTGTTATGTTTTATTAATTTGGAAATTTTAAATCAATTCTTTTATCGGCACCGAGACACAAAAGTGTCGAATTAACACAAATTTTGATATTAAATATATTTAAAATAGTCACTAACTGGGTGTGAATTACTATAATGGATTTAAATGGAATGGAATGTGTATCGATAGTATAAGTTAAAAATTTGTAATGAATTTTCACGACAAAACGTCTCGACTGTCAAAGTTATAACTAAATTTGAGTTTGCATATTCATTAAACTATGTAAATGCACTCATGTTGTACAATTATGTTACAAAGAACAGTAAAGAACAATGTTACAATATTAAAAGTCAATTATAAGTTCTGGCATGAGCACATTTAATCATCATAGTGAAATTGTGAAATTGTGAAATTGTTTATTGTTTCTCCTGCCCTTTAATTGGATTTGTATCTGTCTGGGCAGCTGTACTTCAAAAAAAAAAAAAAAAAGATGAAGGTATTTCACATATAATTCCGATTCATGCAATAAAACTGGTATGTAAACGAAGCATAGTGTACCTGTAGCCAGAATATATGTGTGCAAATAAACCTATGCATCTGTGAACTTTTCTGTGGCATATAAATCTTGAGTTGTTGTTCCGTTAAAATTTTGTAAATTTTTAGCTGTAAAAGTGTATCAGGACAGCAAAATCATATTTGCAGAATCTAAAAGACCCTCATAACTCCATAAAATGTGTTTAAACTCCAACCAAAGGTCAATTTGTGTGTAGACTTTATAATGCTTGTCGGAACAGAGTACTCTAAAACTTTCTTTCGTTTACATCTGAAAAAATGAATAAGGACTGTGTAAAAGGTGTTTAATAAGTAGTACTAAAGACATAGAAAGGACAGATATGCTGAGAATTAGTATATTCATAAAAAATAAGTTGAAATTTGTAAAATTAAGTAAAATTTTGGCATAACTTTTAACTTAACCTAGAAACGTGCAATTGGTGTCAAAAGATGCAAAAAATGCAAAGAAGCTGAAAATGAGAATTTCATGCATCATAATTCAATCCAAAAGTCAGTATTTGCATAAATAAAATTTCAAAAATGCTTGTTGTTTGTTGCTATAGTAATTTTCATTTGTTTTCCACGTTTAATAAAACCAATATCTGGGCTCGAGATAGCCAGTCTTCCATGTTTACCTGTAGCAGTAACATCGTTAATTTGCTCCTAGAAAAACAATTGCTATCAGTTAAAGTCAACAAGTCAGTAAAAATTATATACTTACCCAGCCATCTTGGTGATCTAATGTTATGATAAAATTCAACAGTCAAAAGTCAGAATGTGACATTAGTGGAAGTGACATTAGTCCGAAAAATCATTCAACAGTCTCAACACAAGCAGTTGGTATAACAAGAAATTGAAATAAGGTGAATTTACATAAATAAAAAAGTGACAAGTGGAATCTATAACAAAATATAGTCCAGTGTAGTTTCACCTGGAGGAATTCCTGTAACAGCAACATAAAGGATAATTCGGCAATCTTCGCGGCGAGACGCCAGTTAAACGAGAGAACGTCCGAACAGCGCGACTACGTATAGTATACTGTATTTCGCAATACAGCGTGGTTACATGTGGATTTAACAACCAGCAAGAAATCTGTCATGGTAAGTATCGACACTTATTAAACAAATTTGCAAATTTGAAACACAAAGCGCTATATAAATTTTTACATTCAAATTCTCACTGCATATTCATATGTAACTAATGCACAATTTTAACCAATTCAACTACTGACAGTATAAACACATTTGTGCACTGTTTAAGTAGAAATTTAGGGGGGAATTTATTGTTCATTCAACTAGTTTAAGGATTACAACAATTGTAAATTGTTACAAAACCCATAACCTGCTAAATCTAGCAATATATTGATATTTTGTTATTTTAAATACATCTTTCATTTAAAGAAATTAGAGTAGAAATTCAATACATCAAATTTTAAATCAAAATATAAAAATAAAACAGAACAAAGGAACGCACACACTGAGAGAGTCTCATAATTCATAACTCATAACCAATCATAATAACAAAACAACTACAAATAAAATATATAAAGGCGTCCACAAAAACATAATAGTATATACGCAAACATGTCGATTTCGATAACTTTTAAGCTGGGATATGCGATTGTGATAATAATACTTCACTTCTGAAAGTCAGAAGCAGTTGTCCAGCTACTTTCTGTGCTATTTCCCACAAGCATAGCATAAAAGAAGTAGCTAAACGATTGCTTCTGATTGATCCCGAACTAGTTTGAACGGCTCCGCAAACAGAGCTATTATACATTTGAGGACCAACAGGAAAAAAGGATTATGACCCTATAAACTGTTTCAGGCAGTTTAAAGTAATTAACTTACTATCTTAGTGCATAATGCACTATTTCTAAATAAATTAATATTATAATTGATATAAAAATCATTTTTTCTCTTTCAAGTCTTCATTTGCGTTTGTTATTTTTCTTTACAAAAATTTTCCTATTTTTCTAAAAGAAAATCCCAAAACTTTTGTGCATAATTTTTTTACACCATACATACTTTTTTGAAATCGTTTAATTCTTTTCTCGATATTTATTTGACTAAATTGAACATATAGAGATTTACAATTACAAGAATAAAACGAAAAAAATATATATATTTATATGGAATTTTGCTTAATACATGAAAATACCTTATTAGAAATTATAAATACATGTGCACATTTTTTATTAAATTTTTTTCATCTTTTTTTGTCGGACTGACGATTTGCGGATATATTTTTGTCGGACATTACAATTTTTGCTTATAAAAAACACTTTTTTATCGTGTGTTATTTTTGTCCGACATGTGGTAATCGATTTTTCATACCCCGTGAAAATTCCTATTTCCAGCTGTCGGACTGAAAAAACGCGGCTTGAAATTTGTCGGACAACAATACTTTTTGACTGAATTAATTATTTACAATTAATTTTACTAAAAATTACCTATGTGGTAATTGATTTTCAATACCCTGTCGTTTTGGCATGTTTCGTCCGGTAGACACGTCAATGTCGGAAGAATTTCTGTCGGACAAATTTAAATCGGCATTTGCAACAAAACTTCCAGTAACTTAAGCTAAAAAAAAGATGTGGTCTTGAGTTTTCAAGACCCCGGGAAATTGCCATGTTTTTGGACTTTTCCGAGTGGAAAAGCGGAGGAATCGAGAAAAGTCACAGAGGAAAAGTGTGGTAGACTCGTCAAAACGAAGCTCCTCACGAGTTATAAAGTATGTGGTAATCAACTTTCCAGGGGGGGCTGTACTGTGGACTATTATATATTACTACAACTAAGTTTAAAATGATACCTCCAAATTTTTAGGTTAACTTTTAGTAGTACTTTCTGAGATAGTTACGAATGCTGCAATTACTATGTAGTAAATAGCTTGTGCAAAACAATTTTCAATTTGATTGTTTTAAAATCTATTTGGCTAATAAAAAGTCAGTTAAGTAAAAAAAATCATTTTATTTTTACAGATACATGTTGCAGAATAAGGGACCAATATGCTACAAAAGTAGATACAAAATATAAATTCAGTAAAGACTATTGAGCTAAATTTTTATAGTTTTCTTCTGCTATGGACATTAAGTTTTCCGCCATACCAGCTCCGGTCTGCCTAACAAGTCCATAAAACACACCCCTAGGATTTTGTAATAGCTTGTAGGGCTGATCGAATTCAACAGCTCGTCCGGCGTCCATAACCAGAACTTTATCTGAATCCATAATTGTGTGTAATCTGTGAGCAATAGTCAGCACTGTACAACTGGCAAATTTTCTTCTGATTGTGGTTTGAATCAGTCCGTCTGTGTGGGGATCTACATTGGCAGTGGCTTCATCCAGTACAAGGATTTTGTTGTTGCGAATTATGGCCCTTGCCAAGCACAGTAATTGCCTCTGTCCAACACTGAAGTTTGATCCCCCTTCCGACATTTTGCTGTCTAAACCAGCGGCAAGACTGGACACCGCATTTTTCAGTTCTACTTCGTCCAGTGCGTTCCACAGAACCTAAAATCATTCATAAAATTATTACCATAGGTATGTTTCTAAATATAGTATATAGTAGCATAGGAAAATTATTGACCAAAGAAGATGAAAAAGATTGATTCAAATGTAGTTTATTTCTTAAATGCAGATCAAGAGCAATGTTGAAAAAGTCATTCACTTCTGGTTTGCAATATTTCTGTTTTGATTAAACTTATCAATCATAATCAAGTATGAGTAGTATGATAGTATTATACATACCTCATCATTATACTCGTCAAAAGGATCTAAGTTTTTCCTAAGTGTTCCTGAGAATAATACAGGTTCCTGGGGTATAATGGAAATCTTTGACCTCAAGATATTTAAAGGAATATCCTTAGTATCTACTTTGTCAATTACTATGCTTCCTTCTATGCTTGTAAGACGAAATAATGCTGATATAAGGGATGACTTTCCTGCGCCTGTTCTTCCAACAATGCCTATCTTCTCATTTGATTTAATTTCAAAGTTGAGGTCTTTCAAAACAAAGTCATCTTCTGGACTGTATCTTAAGCACATTTTTATGAACTTTATAGTACCTTCTTCTGGCCAAAGTCTAGGCAAGGTTTTGGTTGCTTCATCTTTTTCTGGAGTAACTTCGGTATACTCCTGAACTCTCTCCACCGAAGTCATGTTATTCTCTAGCTCACTCCACTGCCTAACACCCCATTGAAACATGCCAGTAAGGCTAATGGATTGGGTAAGGGCTAAACCTACATTTCCACCAAATATTTCTGAAATAGATAAATTGTATTTATATTTAACAGTTCATTGATATTATTTTTTTAATGAAAGAATAAATAGTTTTCTCACAAAAACTTTTCATAATGTTTTCTGCTCAATTTAAACATTTGTACATACCTTTCTCAATAAACAGAATGCTGATAGTTACAAGTGCAATGTAAACAACACAATGAAAATCCAACCAGAACCCAAAAGTTCTATTTGCTGCGACAAATATGTAGTACGGAGATGTGTTTTTATTTTGGTAATTGTCGAATTCCCTTTTCAAGATCTCCTGCGCTCCGAAAGCTCTAATAGTGGTTAATCCTTGCAACGATGCGGACAAATGTGTGTAGATAGGACTGCGTGCTGAAAAAAATATACAAACGCTTTAGGTCAAAATGTATAAAAAATTTCAAAACTTTAACTCGGTAAACATATTATTTGAAACTTACTAGTTGCTTCCACTCGTTTCACAGCTCTACTGGTTGCCAAAAACACTATCCTCAGATAGTAAAATATAATCAAAATTACAACAGTGGGTAGTAAAATCCATGGATTAAGAGATCCAATAACAATGGTAATTGCCGCAACATTTAGGGCAGTCTGAAAATAAATGATATCATTGTAGTTACTATTTGCGAGTAAAAATTACTATTAACAGTTAACTATTAAACGTTAACTATTAACGCTTTTTGTTAATATTTTTTATAGATATTCAATTCACCAAACATCTTGCTCCAGAGATAAAATAAAAGAGAATGTTAACGTACAAACTATACTCTTCATGAACAAAATTTGTTTCTGGGATATTTTATAATAGGTGCTTATATAAATATATGAACAAATATTTTCTTTTTAGTCACATAACGTTAGTGTATACGTATACACTAACAACTTTAATCATATTGCAAAATATTTGGTGAATATTACACAAAATTAATATCAGGTGACCTTACATATTTTCTACCTTTTTGCACCATACCTTTCTAATTTAAGAACGATCCTCAAAGAGGAATTGTTTGTTTATGAGAACTTGGAAATATATTTGGTCCTAGATAATATATCCTGCAAATAAACAAGACTAATATTTCGAAAAATAAACTAAACAAGCTAACATGTATTAAAAAACATCGATGTAGTATTCTATATTTGTTATTGTCTCTAAAATTATATTCAATCAGCGATGTTTCAATATTAATGTTAAAAATGTTTGTTTTAGTTTTAGCAAAAATTAGTAAATTACATATTATCATATCAATGAAACTGATTATTTTATTAATGGTACTTACTTCCAAAGTATCTAAAAGAGATAATGGCAATAATTCGTCCAAAGCGCCTATGTCTTTCGAAAATCTATTAAGAATCCTTCCTGGCGGATTTATGTTGAAGAATCTCATAGGGGCATATACGATTTTATCAAACATAAGATTGTGTAGTTTAATGGAAGCAACAACGCAGTATCTAAAGAAAGCAATTGATCTCATTATAGCCACAACTATTGTTCCTATAACCAGACAGATATATATAATCACTGAGCTGTCTTCTGTTAAAATAAGATCTAATACTGTTTGAAAGGAATCTTGCCAAGTTGATGCTTCTGGATTTTCTGCATAGGTATCGTTGAGAGTTGCATTGTTCTGTGTTAGCCTCCATTGTTCCAAATTGACCCTAAAAATTAAAAAAGGTAAGTAGGTATTGGTATTATCAACAAATTAAAATGGTACACGCTTTTGTTCGATGGTTTAAGCTTTTCACAGGTGCCATTTATCTTAATAGTACACGAATGCAAAATAGAACTAAACACAATGGAAAAAAAATTAAGTAGGTACTAAAATTAAAGGTATGATTTGTTCAAAGATGTCACGTTATCAAATAATATGATTTGAATTTTTAACTAAATATATTGAAAATTAATTTTTACCTATCATAGCTAGTGTTATATTGTTATGTATGTATTTTATGTATTAAAGACCCTAGTGGATTATTAGTCTCAAAAATATGTCCATAACCAGTTAAATTGTAACATGATAAAACGACTGTTGTGGAAAATAAATTAATAAGCTGTTTTTAATCCTAGTTTGAACTGCTTTTAGTGAATAAGCAATCTACAGAATAAATACTATCTTGAAAATAAAAATTAAAACTAATAAAACATTTACCATATATTCACAAAATAATCTGTTGCACTGGCAGCAACCTGCGACATAATAAGGGCAAATACGAGCATCGCTATTTTAAACCAACTTCCTCCAGCCCGTAAGTAACTCCTATAAACATTCCAAGAAATATCTCCAACGCTTCTCTGTTCTTTTTCTTGAACGGGCGCTCCTATATTATTTTCTTTTTGTTTTGTATCGTTCATTTGTTTGGATTTTCTATCAACTGAAAAATTTTGTTCATCGTCTTCTTTATTATTACTTGTAAGTAGTTTTATGAATTCATTATTACAAGTTTGTAAGTCCGTATACGATCCCGACGCGTAAACCTTGCCATCGTCGATTAAGTAAATAGTTTCCACCTTTCTAAGATATTGGAGTTGGTGCGTTATTAGTACCACGCACTTGTCTTTCAGGTATCCACAAACGCAGTCGTCGAACAGCTGTCTCCCTACGTGAGTATCCACAGCTGATAGAGGATCGTCCAGTAAATAGATATCTGCTTCCTTGTACACCGCTCTGGCAAGGTTAATACGAGCCCTCTGTCCTCCACTAAGGGTGGTGCCCCTGTCCCCGACAAGAGTTTGATCTCCATGTGGCAAAAGAGTAAAATCTCTTTCTAAGGCACATACCCTTACCACTTCCTCGTATTTCTTTGCGATAAATTCTTGACCGAAAACAATGTTTTGTCTGACGCTTCCACCGAAGAGCCATGGCTCTTGGGAGGCGTATGACAAGGATCCTTCCACTCTGACTGTACCCTCCACAGGAGGCAATTCTTTTAAGATGGCGTGGAGAAGAGTGGTTTTACCGCCTCCTACAGGTCCTATGATAGCCACTAATTGTTTAGAGTTAGCGTCAAAAGTGATTTTTTCCAAAGTATTGTCGGGTAGGGACTTGTTCCATTTTACCGATACATTTCTCAAATGTACACCAGGAGACGTATTTGTCTTTAAATTATTTATCCCACCGTTCTGGATTTTAGGGTGTTTAGCATCTTCAACAGTATTAAACTGAGAATTGTTCTGTATTTCTTCATAGACTAAAAATTTCCTAATTCTAGACACTGAAACTTTGGTTTCAGCGAGTTGCGTTACCGCTTTTGGGAAGGCTTTTGTTACAACCTGACGCAATGTTGCATAATACGACGAAACCGTGTAGGCGTATGTAGCATTGATTACATTTCCTGTTAAGACATACGTTAATATACATATACAAATAGCCGCTCTGCTCAATGCTAAATTGAATGACATGGTAATCCCTCTGATCGTTCCGCTGGAGCAAATTTGCTGCATTTCCTTTCTGAAAAAAAAATTGAATGTATAAGTTCTCAAAATAATGAAATACTTCAAGATATCTTACTTTCTACATATTTCCACCAATTTAGCAAAAGGCTTCTCCCATGTATACATTTTGATGACTTGTATACCATTTACTATTTCACTCATCAAACGTACTCTTTCGTCTGTGCGTATGGCTGTCCTCAGTCTATACTGCGAAGTCTTTTTACCCATATACGCTGTAAAAGAAGATTGCAAAATATATTAAGTTAATTTAAATTGAGAATACTTACTCTGAAAAGGAATGAACAATAATAAGAAAAATGTTCCTGCCAATCCTGTGACTCCTACATTAATATACAGTAAATACATGACTATGACAGTTTCGAGAGGAGACATCCACAAATAATTGACATGCTGTGTCGCAGAATTAAATCTAGAAACATCATTTGAGAGCAGGTTAACCATCTGCCCAATTGTGGTTTCGGCCAGAGCAGACTTGTTTAGTTTTAACGCTTTTCTATAAATCAAGGAGCAAGTGGCCACTCTTATCTTCATTGACAACTGCAGGGTTTGAAGCAGATAAGTGTGCGTTAGCAGGACCTTTACCAATATGACGAAAATCAAGAGAGCTGCATACCAGCAGGCTTCGTCCTTGGTCATATCCGTTTGATTTGGTTCGTAATAAGTGAGGAATTTCGAGATTATCAAGGGCTGAGACAATCTAAAATAAATAAGTTAAGTTATAATTATCATAAATAAATATTTCTTAAACCATTACGTACATTTAGAAACAATACAATAGGACAAAATTGTTACCACAAAAAATTAACATATTTTAAAATAAGGCAATAAACAACCGCGCCATATAAGCATATAAATTTATCTTAATCCAACCATTTTCAATTCTTCGTCTTTTACATACAAAGTTAACGTTAAAGCAGAATTGTGTATTAAAAATTTTGTATATTGAAAAATGAAAACGGTTTCTCTCTTGTCCTCACTAAACAATTAGAACTGTTTACATCTTCTTAAATTAATTTTACCTTAACCTGCACTACTTTATGTTTTATTTTAGATTCCAGTCTGTCTCCGACAATATAGAACAATTATTACCTACTTTACTATGAATTCTGTAAACATAAAGAAGATCGCATATAGGAATAACTCAATCCCAAAAACTCTAAGCATTGCCCTCCACAATGAAGGATTTTTTTTGTTTTCCTCGAGGCTCCAGGCTTCCTGTAACTTGTCGCCCAACATGCTAGACTCATGGGAACTCAGTGTATCATACATGTCATCTTCCGTAAGCTCCTTTTTGAATCCCTTGACAAAATAAGGTAACAGCCAACTGAAAGAAAGACATATTTTAATGGTGTGTCTACTAATATTATTTGATGACTTACCAAAAACATATTTTTGATACTATGTTCGCCCTCTGTAGTGGATGCTTCTTTTTACTAATATTTTCTGGAGAGTACTTTGTTTCTTCCATTGGCACTAATTTAAATTAGTAACTGTTATAAATATTCTTATCTGCCTTTATTTAAGCAATTAGTTCATATGCAGAATAATTTAGTTTCGAATTTATATTAGTTTTCTAAAGTGGTGGTAATTTCTGAAATAAAAAAATATAATGTCAAAAAACGTATTTGTCAAGCCTGTTTCAATTAATGGCATCAAGACAAACTACATTTTGGCATGAAGCTTGCGACATATTTAATTGTCGTCTACTAAATCGCAGGCCTCGGTGTTATTTAGCCATTAATATACCGCTAAAGTTCAAGCAAAATACGATGGTAATATTCTTGAAAAGGTATGGAGATTATGAGTAGCTGCATATATTTTTGTTACTGTAATTGACCCTCGTAGCCTCTAAATTTTTCCGTTTTTATTATTCTTATGATTCCTTAGGACATAAATAAATTTCAGTGTCAATTTGAATCTGTAACAGTCATATTTGTAGAATATTCAATTTTTTGAGAGGGTAAAGATAAAATAATATACTTTAATACTTTGTTATGTATACAGGGTATGTACAAAATAAGTCGATAATAACTAAACGCGCCTTAGTCCAAAAAATAATAATAATGGAGATACAGGGTGAAAAAGTGACATTTCCCTTAACATTTTTCGATTACTTTGAGCTAATTTCGTAAAATTTCGTATCCGAGGATTTTCGGGATGATAAATTCGTATTTATTGACAATTTTGTTGTAATTTCTAGAAGGTGCCACAAGAGACCACTAAAACGTATTTAAACTCTTAAAACTTTTTGTGTTACGGTGTAGGTATTTGACTTTGAGCTGAAAAAATCTCTTCCCCCAACTTTTCTACTTAAAAACGGTATATGTTACTAACATCTCTAAACCGTTTTCGACAAAAAGGCATTTAAATTTGTAAATGTATAAAAAAAATTGATTAAAAGTTATTTTACCGTGGCACTAAAAGGTTTTGACAATTTAAATGTGCCCTAAGTCCTAATGGTTGCTTGTGGCGCTCTCTAGAAGATACAACGAAATCGTCGATAAATTCGTATTTCTCACACCAAAAATCCCTCCGATATCTACGAAATTTCACGAAATTAGCTCAAAGTAGTCGAAAGATATTAACGAAAATGTTATTTATTTTTTCAACTTTGGCACCCTGCAGCTTCGTTATTATCAATTTTTGGACAAAGGCAAGTTTGGTTAAATCGACTTATTTTGAGCCGTACTATATCTGGTGGAGCGTTGTATATACCTTTTTTTTAATATTCATCCATTATGAATGTCGTCAAAAAATATATTTTTTTCGAATATACAGCAAATGCTTTTGGGTTAGTTTTGTAATTACTTAAAGCTTGTGGAAACGATTTGTGGACTAGAGTGCTCAATAAGTAGGTATTCGAGATTTGTGGAAGAAAATAAGCGACTGATAGCGGGGTATACACTATTAGTAAATAATATTTAAATTGACATTTGAAAACAAGGTGAAAACCGCGGCCAAAAAAAAAGTAACGTTGTGAATATTGTAAAATTCGAATTTTTCTTCAAAAATAAGGAACAGATGCAAAATGTATTTTAGAACTGGTTTTCAGTTTTTCTACTGCAAAAATTGGTGAACTGGTCTACTATAAAAATTCGTTTCCCGAATCTGAATTCGTGTTTTCAGCCACATAATATTATCTCTAACCATTGGTTTTATAAACAACCTCTATGATATAACAATCTAGATATATTATAATCTTCTCAAGTATTGGGCAGATTAACATCAAAACTTACATATATCTAAAACAACATGGCATATATATATATATATATATATATCTATTTCGCTATCTGTACTTTAAGTAATGCATCAATAGTATCTTCAAACCTATGCTAATTGAAAATAATAAGTAGCTAATTTGATGATAAACTACACATTTATAATGACAGGTGATATAGAAAGAGAAAGTATTTCTAAAAGTAATGCCAAGGTCGTTCTAAATATTTGAAACGCATAAGTAGTGAATAGGGTCCGTACGATATTTGAATTGACCGCATGCGACACCCGAGGCGGCGTGGCGTTCACCGTAGCAGCTTGCAGTGCATACTGTGCTTTTCAGTTACGGAAAATTTCAAAGCACGCTCCTGCCATTACAGTAGTTCCGATAACGTGAACTTCTTCTTTGTTTGGAATTCTATTTTAACAAATACTGTATTCTCTTTTCCGTTTCTTCAATTGTTACTGTTTGAAGTTATTTATTTGTGGGATAGATTTAGATTTTTGGATACATAAATAATTAAATAAGCCGTTCCCCCAAAGTTTAATCGGAGGTTATTTTTTTTTAAAATAGAGTTGCCTAAAAAACCTCTCAATGAAGAAAACATACAAGTAGAAAATACAAAATACGCATCACTGAAATTCGTTGATGTTCCGAAAATCAATCTTGGACTGACACTTTGTTTTAAATTAGTTTTGACATTGCATATGTCTGTCTCTATAGCTAGAAATATCATAATATGATGTTTATTAAATTATTACTGACTTTCCTCTTTTAGTATTTGTAGCCAACAAGGATGTAAGTTCACAAAGTAATTTCATTATAAAATAGTTTTTTGTTTTCTATTAGAATGAGGGCAAAAATTGTACTTAAAAGCGAGACTAGAGAAATAAAAAATTTGCGATCATCGGTCGGCGTTAGTACTTAAATCGATGTGTGCTAATTCTGCCCGGGTTCGATTTTCGCGGCCGGTAGACCGTAGATTAGCTATGCTTATACGAAGGATTGGCACCCTCTGTGCAGATATGGTAGGGTGGAAGAATGTTGGCTTGGGTCAATGTGAGAGATTGACACCGGTTGGCATTTGACCAACCCCTTAAATAATAAATAAGTCGTTCCTGGGCGCAAATGCGGCTTGCTTAATAATAATATGCCGCCTCCTCTCCCGCGCAAGTTTCCGACTTCTGGGCTAATTCTCGTGGTTAGAATGAGGAGTAGAGATATTATTTATTATATAATTCAATGTAGTTCGAGCAATATTTTGGAGAAGGAAAATAATACCGTTAAAATTATTTTCTTAAAGGGTGAAAGATGTGTTTCATATTACTTGGTCACAAATACTGAAAAAATAAGTAATAGTGGAATAAACACCAGATGATATCTATAACTATGAAAACATACAAAGAAACGAATTTAAACTGTCAACACTAATATAGGACGTGTATTTCTAAATTCTGAAAGAAAAACAGAATGCTACGTTGTCAGATCTTAAATAAAAAATTTAAATTCAAAATTCAACTGCTTGAATATACAGGGTGGTTCATTAACAATGGGAAAATCGAGCTGAAGATACTACACGTGAAATGGCGACCATTGGCGCAAATATGCCTTATCCGAAAGTTGATAGTTTCGGAAATACAGGGTGTTGAAAGTAAAAATTTTAAATCGTTTTTTTTTTGCGATTATTTTGAAACTATGTAGGTTAGGAACTTGAAAATTTGTGAAACAATATTTTTTTAAGCGACGAAAAAGATGTGTGTTGCAATTTCAGCGTTAGTCATAGAGGGCGCCATTTACGACCAATTTTACCGAAAATTCAGTTAATAATTTTTTACCCTGTATGTCTGATATGAAACTTAATTCAAAACCTAAAAGAGCAATAATTTTTCCATTAATTATGTACTCTTGTTTCATTTCGGTATCTTGATCCGTTTTCGAGAAAAATCGATTTAACACTATATTTTGATAATACGAGAAATTAAAAGCGAAACAAAGTGTTTCTTCATGCTATTACAACAATTAATGATAAAACAAATGCAATGCGTAATAATAATTTAAGGGCGCCATTTTCTTTAAATAATAATTTCAAACATTTAATAACTGAATAATCTAAACTTATCAAATAATGGGAATGTTATATCATGCCATCTGGGTATTTTCAAAGACGCCGCAGTAAAACGAAATAACAGGTGCAAAAAACGATCAAACCATCAAGGTTTTAGTACTGAAATCTACGAAAATACTAACTTTTTTATATCCAACTCCACATGTAAATATTCTTATAATATTTACTTGCTTAGTCCTACATATAAAATTGTTTACTTTTATTTATAAGTACGTGAAAATAATTCTTAAAATGCGGGGTTAGGATAACGGCAAACGCATGTTTTACAAACGCTTTTTTTAGTTATTATTTTATTTGAGTAAATTTAAATAGTAACAATGAATAAACAGAACGTCAAGGATTTTATTTGTGTGCTTACTTTTGTTCTACACGTTTTATTTTTCAAGATTTCAGTACCTAAAAACACCGTAAATTTGACTATTTCTCGGTCAGGGATATGGCCACCTTAAAGTAATAATTGTTTGAAGAACCCACCGTTGACACTGATACACTTTACACAACGTTTTCTGAGATATCTTCAGGTTTGAAACAACATATTGGGATTGCGTCTGACTTTGCTGGCAGCGATTCGTATTCTTTGGCACAACTCTTCACACGAACCAATAGATTCTTTGTAAACTATATCTTTCATTCAAGATCAAAAAGAAAAATCAAGAGGATTGAAGTCCGGACTTCTGGGTGGACAAGCAAAAATGCTTCCAGCGATTTGGAAAAACTACATTTAAATATGCACGCACTGGCCGAGAAAAATACGGTGGAGTTCCGTCGTGCATGAACCACATGTCTCTTCTTAAATAAAGTAGAACTTCTTCAAGTCGTGAAAGCATTTTTGCTTGGCCACCCAGAAGACCAGACTTAATTTTTCTATTTGGCCTCGAATGAATGATATCGTTTACAAAGAATCTATTGGTTCGTATGAAGACTAGTCGCAAAGAATATAAATCGCTGCCAACGAAGTCAGATGCAATCCCAATATGTTGTTTCAAACTCGAAGATCTCTCAGAAAACGTTGTGTAAAGTGTATCAGTGTCAACGGTGGATTCTTCGGACAATTACTTTAAATCATTATTACGTAGGTATTACATTTGTTTTATTGTTAATTGTTGTAATAACATGAAGAAACACTTAGTTTGTTTCGCTATTACCTTCTCGTATTATCAAAATATAGTGTTCGTTAAATCTATTTTTCTCGAAAACGTATCGAGATACCGAAATGAAACAAGAGTACATAATTAATGGAAAGATT